TACTGTGACCTGAAACTGGAAGTGGAATTCTAGAGAGAGTGGAGATGTAGTTCAAACTTACAAGAAGTGATACAGAACAACAGCATGAGTATCTGGAGAAAGAATCAGAAAAGCCAGGAATAATAAACCAAAAAAAAAAAAAAAAGCAAAGCAAACAAAGAAAAATCCCAAAACAAAACCACAGAGAAACCTCAACAACACATATTTTGTTTCTAAGATTGCAAACACTGATGAATTAAGCCTAGAGTAAGAAAATAATAGGTTATAAACTGCTCTTCAAAGTAGCTGGTTTAGCTGAAATTCACCCAGGAGCCTTTAAGATTTATGGCTCTGGCAGATCTCCATTACAGCTGCCAGTAGTGGCAGGCAGTAGTTTTGAGCATGGCTAGAAAAGGCTGGAAACTGTTAGATATGCCATCTTTCATTAAAAAGGGAAAAAGAGGAAATTGCAGAGATTTACAAACTAGTTGCCTATCTTCAATTATCAACAAATAATTACTGAAGTATAAGGTCTTAATGACAGACAGAACATATTTATTGATAAGAAATCATGTCAGATTCCCTTAATTTATTGCTTGAAAAGGCAGAGGCACTGTGGATAGGGAGGAAGCAGTAGACGTGATACATTTTTAACTCTCATGCTATGTGAAATGACTTTTGAAATAAGTATGGAGATACAAACAAAGATGAGATGATACAAGACTGTTGATGATTCATTGTCAAACCATAAAGATGTATCGGTGGGGGGCTAGACACATCCCAGTGTGTCTGGGGTGATATTCAAGGTTGTTGTGAGTCATTCAGATGATGGAATGGAGAGCATGCTTAATAATTTTTCGTTCAGCATCAAGCTGGAAGGATCTGAAAGCATTTTGGAGAAGAGAATTAGAATTCAAGATTTTTTTGCCAGAATAGAGAAATGGTCTGAATTAACCAGGAGTGTTTATGTGTAATCCCACTGGTATATTCAGCTTGTGTTAGATTTTGTGTAAATGGGGAGTTCAGAACAAAAAAAGAGACCTAGAAAGCATGGTCTGTGAAGAAAGGCTGAAAACTCTGGGTGCTCAGTCTGGGAGAGGAAGGTATAGGAGCCTTCAGATATGTAAAAGGCTGCTGCAAAGAGGCAAGGAATAAACTGTTCTCCATTTGCAGTGTAAATAAGACAGAAGTAATGAGCTTAAATGACAGGTAGGAAGATTTAGAACAAATATTAGAAAAAAATTGCTGACTGCAAATTCTGGAATATATTGCCTATTTCCAGGCTGAGGATTCTCCATCATTAGAGATTTTTACAAAGAGACAGACAAAAATCTGTTAGAGAGACTTTAGATATAGTTGATCTTATTTTAGATTAGGTGGCCCCATAAGATTCCTTTTAGCTGAATTTTCTGATAGTTAACTGTTTTGGTTAACTGTTTAGTGAAAGAAAGCCTTGTGGGAGGATTTTTTTTCATAGATCCTAATCCCATTTCATTCTTGAGAACAGTGCAGAGAACCTAATGAAACTCTAGGCAAAAGAGATACTTGTCTTTCACTACTTATCTTGGTATTTCTATCACTTCAGGGGAAAAAAGTTATAAAACTACTGTTTGTTGTGCGTCTATTGTAAATTCACTTAACTGTGGCATTTTTGGTATCATCTTTGAGACGTCCATAGACTGAGACTACAGGCACCCTAAAGTGTATTCATTGAGTGTTATGTTTGAGCTCAGAAGCTTTAGCATAATTCTTTTGGATATAAAGATTTACTGCAGACATTTAATATTAGACACATGAGACAGTTAAATTTTTGTGGTCTATCCAGTAATAGATTCTTAGAACTCCATGAATTTTAAAATAATATTTCAGTACTCAAATAGTTCCATGAGATGTTATAGCATCCGAATAGCACCATGAGATGTTATAAAGTCATGTGGATTCAGTTAGGATTTGGAAGTTATTTTGAAAGCCTAGTGGACAATCTGGACCAAAGATGACCACTCAGAAGGTGTGCATTACTGTTGGTATGAATGTCTTATGTTTGCGGACATCACTAACAAACTTACTTAAGTGATGTAGATGTTTCAGTGACTTCACTGTAATGTTAAAAGATGCTCTTAAAAAAACCTGTTCTAGTAACTGTTATCCTTTTTTAAGATTAAGCTCTTCAGCATAGGTGCTGGTTACTACAGTGTATTTGTACTGGGCAATGGAATCATAAAATCCCCATTGTAATAGACATGTGGAGAATACCTAGTCCATCTCCCACTTGAAGCAGAACTATGGCCAAAATGAGATCAGCTCAACCACTCTCTGTTTAGCCAAGACTTGAAAACCTTGATGGACTGAGATTCTGCAGTCTCTCTGTTCCAGGGTGGCTCCATCTTCCTAGTGAAAAAGTATTTCCTTTTTATGCACTGTGAATCTCTAAAGCTGCAACTCTAGGTCATTTCCACTTGTTTTACCATGCAACACTATTGAGAAAAGTTTGATTCCATCACCTTTTAACTCTTCTTCAAGTAGCTGTAGGTTGCTATTGAATTGTCCCTTAGGTTCTTTTTCACAAGAGTAAACAAGTTCCTGATCCCTCATCCTGTCCTTGTGCATCACTGACATAGGCCCCTAGAAAATTTGAAAGCCATCTGCATGACCCTCTCCAGTTTCTGAATATCCTCTTTGACTGAGGTGCCTCAAAACTGCGCACTGTGTTCCAGGTATATATAGTTTCACTCAACAAATATGGTTTCAGTTTTGCTTATTGCTGCAATATGGCTAATAATTAAAAGCGTTAGTCTAAAATCAACACTGAGTTTCTGAACAAAGCTGTTCTTTTATATGCAAACCAAAGCCGAGGGGGGAGAAGAAGAAAACTGCAAAGAAGTGAAAGAGCCTTCTGAAAGTGTTTTGTAAAAAAGGTTCTTTATTTGACTTGCCTGAAATCTTGGAAGATAATACATATGGCCACACACATTACTTTTGTGCAGATTGACTTAATTTAGGTCAACTTTGGCAGGCCACTAAAATAAAAAATTGGCAAGAGAACCAATTTCAAACTCAAAGATGTAGATTGATGTCTTAAAGTAATTAGCAGCTTTAGCCTTGTTGTTGCAGTCTGTAAGAAGCTCAGTAAAGCAAAATAGTCTTATAAAGAAATTATACACCATGAGCTGACAGGGCTCTGTCCGTTGAAAGGTCCTTCTTCCTTTTTGTTTAGAGTGTGTCCACAGAAGAAATTGTATGGTACAGCTCCAAGGAGGGCCAAGTAGAACCTGCTGCCTGCTGTGTTTCTGGAGCAAAGGATGGGTCTGGCTAAAATAAGTCCCCATTGTTCTACCTCCCTCCTTTCTTGCAGTGCTTTACAGTCCCTGGTGTAATGTGTACTCCTGGCAGAGCAGCTGCTCCCTGGACACTGAAAGTCTCAGACCCAGAAGCTCACACCAGCAGAGTCCCTGCTCTTCCTCTAACATTGTAACCTTGTGTTCTCTCATTCTCTGGCAATTCTCAGTAGGCTTTAGTCTCTACACAAATGCTAACCATTGTCTCCAGCTTTCTTCAGCTAGAAACAAAGCTCTTAGATCCCCTTTATTCTGGCTATTTCTAATTAAAACAGATGAAAGGAGATAAGTGGTGGCCAGTGATGGCGCTTGCCTATCTGAAAGAAAACCTTGTATAAACATCATCAAGGGGGGGAATGCTCTATAAATGTTTACAGAAGGCATTCTAAAGACATGAATTAGGGCATACTGGTTTTGAGTGTATTATATCAAGCTGTGACCATCAAGGCAAGAAGGTATAGTCATAATTTCACTTTTTCTAATTATAGTACCTTGTATTAATAATTATAAAATTTTATACAGGCTTAATATGCCCAGAGAAGGTTCTGAAAAATAAGTCAGGTAACAGGCAGGATCCAGGGCCATGACCTCAGAGCCTAGTTAATCCTACCAGCCCTGTTCAAAATATTTCCATATGACTGCACTGCCAAATTTACCATGATACAGAATTCTTTGATTTTTGTTAATTTATGCAACCAAGTGGGTGAAGGATGCTGCAATTTTGTAAATATTTAAAAGGAAATATAGTTAATAGTAAAAATTGGACTTAAAGGACAAGCTAATAACCTGGCTAGCATTACTACTGCCATGAGAGACTGGGTTGAGAGGCAAGTTTTAGGACACATCACAGTTTTTCTGAACTTTTGTCATTCTCTTTTCCATGAACTGGGATTTAGAATTTGGCCTTTGACCAGTGTTCAGGAGAGCAGTCCTTGAAAGTCCTTGTCATTGACAGGGATTGACAGCTTATCATGGATGGTTCTGTGCTGGAAAGTTGCATGACTTGTAAAGCCATTTAAAAAATACTCTCTTGTTTTGCATTTAGCAATCGAGGTTTACTAAAATAGCAATTTCTTCAGTGGCTTGAGTCTATTAGGCAATAACTAAACTGAGGAAGTGGATATATGAAAACATCTCCTGGTGAACCAGTCTAACTTACTTTCATAGCCCTGTTAATTTGCTGCAGAAGGACAGGTTTGATGTTGCCACCTGTGATTTGTTCTGTTTTGCAAAGCAGACAGCTTGGACTTAGAGATACTGTCAAGTATTATTCAAAAGACCCAGACTACACTTTACTGTTAAGTTTTTATGGATTTCCAAAAATAGGAATGTTAAGAAAATATTTTTTCTTTTACCTCTTCTACATATGAAGATCTATTTTTAGCATTTTTGGAGGCAAGAAACAGTATGTCAATGTATGCACTACAGTAAATGCCACCAGAAGGCTCGTGCTGTTACCAGTTCCAATTCTGGTTCTTGCCAGAAAAGACAAGTGACAGTAATATGTTAGCTGGCCTGGCTTCTTGGGGTGATTTAATTCCCCTGTGATTCTGACACACATGCCTTTGACATAACATCCAACTGTGTATCTTTGGAGTAAACAGGAGGTGTTAGGGCCTCTTCACTTTCACAATTGTAACATAGAAACCAACTTGAAGGTCTATGAATGTCTTTCATTTGTTTCAGAGGACCATCCAAAACAGAAATTGTACTAGAGAATGAGGACACGCAGCATCAACAATGGCTGAATCTGCACTCAGACTGGAAGAATAAAAATGCATCCACTTTACATGCACTTCTAGTCAATGGGTAAGTAACAGGTAAATGAGATTTATTTCACTGCTGTGGGTAGTCACTTACCGATGGAGGATGACAAACTCCCTCTGGTAAGCTCTTTTTTCCCAAAGTATCTGTGTATAAATCCCAGCACGTACTCACGTGAGTTGTTAAGATACAGTCTATAATGATTTTAGTGTTCTACAACATTAGTTCTACAACATTAGTTCAGCTTTACCTGCATTGTAAAGCTGAATTAATATTTTGAATTATCTCCAGGCAGACACTGGAAACCATGAATGATCTGGCATAAGAAGCTCCTTGTGTTTTTTCACAGTTTGGGGGAATTTTTAACAGCTGGTTCACAACAACGAGTACAATACCTGTGCTGATTTGCGAATTACCAAAAATTACATCAATTAATTGAGATTCCTACCATGTTCTTGTTTCAATATTTAGACAGATGTGTCAAAGCAGAAGCAAAGTGGCTCTCTTTTGCACCAAAGAAGGTAAGAGAGAAGTGTGTATAAAACTCAGATGTTTTTCAAGATGTGTTAAATTAACATATGCAGATGTTTAGTGCAGATTCATTCTGAAATTTGACTAGAATTCTGCAACATCCAGTTTTGCATTGTTTCGTGTTTTTTTCCCCCTACTCTATTCAGTTTCATCAGCTTTTCTTATTTTTTGACTACAAAGCTGTGTATTGCAGTAGCCCAGTCCTGCTCTGACAAAATTAATTTGTCAGCAGTCAGGTTCCAAAAATTAATTTGATAAAACTTCCTGATGAAAATATCCTTTACCACTAGAGCAGTTAGCAGGCTATCTGCCTTGGAGTTGAAGCTCTGATCTGTTTAGTTGTGAAGCTCAAGAGGACAGAAGAACCTGAAGTAGAGAGCTACAGACCAGGTGTGTAGGCACAGCAGATTATGAAAGTTTAAGTGGTTTGAAAATGCAGAAATTCTTAATCGTCAATGAAATCATGTCCTAGACACGGAGAGCTTTGCTGAAGAACAATTAAATTATGAATTAGCTTGACACAGGGAAAATTAATCATAAAGCGTGACCTAAATTTGGGAAACTAATCAAAACATTCACTATTCTTATTAAAAAAAAACCCCAAAAAACTCATAGGAGCCTGTCAAAGGTGTTTCCTTCTGACATATGTTGCTTTAAGTACACTTAAACACCCTTGCCCTCTGATGTTAAGTGAACCCAGTAAGAATTACAAGTTACAAATAACCATTGCTCAAATTTGTTTCTTCACCACTAAATTCCCACGGATATATGGAATGGCAGCATATCCTCCCTTAGGAGGCTCATTGCAGAAACTGGTGGTGGTCTTTTCTTCTATAAATCAATCTAAGTATGAACAGGCTAAATAATAAGTCTGCCATCTTAAAAATCCAGAATATAAAGTAAAACAATAGTGAAGGACTAATTATTTTAGCAAATAATTGTCTGGCAGATGGGAATCTGGTATAATTTCCACTGGAAGTGGCTTATAAAGTAGAATGGACTGAGTACTGGAATTCCTTCAAATATTCTCCCTTAGTTATTTCCGCAGGCAAAGCAAGCTTGGTGCTGTGTGGCCGAGTAAACAGTGTGACATTCACCTCATACCTGGCTGAAGAAAAGCCTTATTAATGCTGAGGGCATTTTCCAGAAGCAGGTCTTACAAAGTAGCCCGTAGACATTACTAGCTAACAGAAAGATAAGGACATAAACCCAGGAAGCCTTCCCAAGGGCATCTTAGTAACTCCTGAGAGAAGGGAAGTTAGGACCCCAAACTTAGCTTGGATAATATTTCAGGGTGAGCTGGTCAAAATTAATATCAAGAGAGCAAATCCTTTGATTTAAGGAAGGATGAAAATGGCTCAATGTGTTGGATATTATTGTGTGGTTGTTGATGACTACATTTACTGTATTGTTCAGTGTAATTTTGTGACTCTCTTAATATCGTTCTGTGCCCAGTTTTCTTGCAGAAGGTCTTGTATGCACTCCCTTGTGGTAACGGTTAACTCCCTTCTGCATCTGTTCCTCACTAGACTGTGGCCGTCGCCCAGCTGCTCGCATGAACAAGAGGATCCTTGGTGGTAGGACCAGTCGCCCAGGCCGATGGCCGTGGCAGTGCTCTCTGCAGAGTGAGCCAAGTGGACATATATGTGGCTGTGTTCTGATTGCAAAGAGATGGGTCTTGACAGTAGCACACTGCTTTGAAGGGTGAGAGGGCTCAGACAGTTTTACTGTTCATATGAACTTGCACATGTGAATTACCAAGCCCTCCCTGCTGTACCAAACACACTGAGTGAGGGTAGGTGATGCAGAATGGCAAATCACGGAGGCCTGGCTTTAAGAGACTAATAAAGAAAATAAATTGTATAAAACAGCATCAGCTTAGGTTTTCACATGCTCTGTTATTCATTGCTGGCATCTCTACTGATGAAAGCTGAATGAAAATGCCTTGACTTTCAGCTGGAAACAGGAAAAGGAAGAAGACCAAAACACTAATCCTATAGCTCTCATACAGCTGCCATAGATGAAAAAAATGATTCTAGGCACCAGTACAGAAATTACCCTGGAAAAATGCTGTGGCCATTAGTAAAAATAAAAAGTGAGTATTTACTCACAGTGCAGCTCACACATTGCAGTCACTGACTTTTCTAATTACAAACATTCCATTCCTTTATTAGGATTGCAATAATTAAAAAGTCAGTATTAACCACTACTCTGTGCCTGCTAGTATCTGAGGCCCTGTGATAGATGGACAGTCTGGCTTGCAGAGTAAGTTCACATGTCTTAGGAATTGTCTTGGTCATTGTCAGCTTTTTGGTGTTAACCAACATTTATTTTTAATGAACCTCCCTTTTGGGGGGAAATTTATTACCTCATTTCTTTTGTCTTGTACCAAAGTTTTTAAATTGGGTTTCTAAAGATAATTGAAATGTGTGTTTTCTGCTGTAGTTAGCAAGTACTTTCCTGCTACGCAGCTGTCATCAGTGCTTAATCCTGCTTTAAACTGGTACTTGCTCATTGGAAATTATTTTAGACTACACTAAACACCTTCCTTTCTGTTCAAGCCAGCAGAAATTCTGTGGTAAGCAAGTATCTCTTGACTTATCTTTCTTTATAACATTAATTATTCCCTTTTTCAGTAATTATTTCAGTTTTGTCTTTTTATTTCTGAAACGCTGAGTTCTTTGGTCCCCCACACCCCTGTTTTTGAGGGAACTTGTGCTGTGGGCAAAGTTTGTGGCTTTTGTGTCCAAGCCAGAAGACGTCAGGCAGGTGATAGTGTGTGTATCTACAGGTGTAAGGCTATTAATGGAAATGCTAGAGGGAATGACAGGGAAGAAACCTCAGTTCTGATTATCACATCATGTCAAGGATGTTTTATTCAGAGAGAAAAAAAAAAGTAATAACCATAAACTTAAAAAAGTAACTTAGATAACCTTCCTTCTCAACTAAGAAAGTGCTGAATGTGAATAATACAAATAATATTGCATTTCTCAGATTTTGGGTCCTGTACAAGGAATTTCTCATCTTTCCCCATCTATTTTTAAATAAAGCTAAGCAGTATCTGGTGGTCTAAAATCAAGGGTGGGATTTAGAGGTAGATCCTTCAGCATTATGAGACTGCCACGGAACTTCATGGGTAAGAGATTTCTCTCATTAGTGAAAGATAAGCAAAGAAACTGTCAAATTTATAATGTAAAAATTCTCCCATTTTTGTTAATTGCAGAAAGATGGCCACTACATTTTGGAGGTGTTAATTTAATCCTCATTTAGGGCTAGATAATACCTATGTGAGCTCAGAGTATTATGTGTAAAAAGTCTTTCACATACTCTTTCATTTGTATTCTAAATGCCTTAAAGTACTAAGATATTTTGGTTTAATAATTTATTGAATAGTTACATGAACTTTTTTCTCCTCTGCCTCTCCAAATAGATTCGAGAGTATGTTCCCAGTGGCCTGAAATCTTTAAATTCTCTATTTGTATAGCTTGATATGCAACAGTAAGATCATTCTTGATGTCACAAAGCTTTCTCGTTAGAAAGTATTTAAAAATTTACCAAACCAACCAGATAAGCCATCAATTAAAACAGATTTTAAAGTGCTCTGGTTCTCTGTTTTGTGAAATATTTTATGAAGTTCATGTGAAGTTTGGGCTACAAAACCTGAGGACTGTATAACAATAATGCAGCAGAGAGTATTAATGCAAATAGTCGCGAATACTTGTAGAAGGCATAAATGGTGTGATCTCCATTAAACATCATGTCCTTTGCTAGTTTTATTAGTATAGTCCCCAGAGTTTTGTCAAGATTGTTTTGAAATGCATTAGACCAAAGCATCCAAGACATTAAGGTTTTTTTCTTGACTGAAGGACAATGCATTCTGGCTGTGACTGCTCATTGCTCTGAGCAATGCTTTTTTATAATGTTCATAAACACAATAGCATATGAATATTCTTAGCACTTAGTCTTGTAAATGCATGGAAAAAATCACAGACTGATCATAATGGTAAAATAATCATTGTAGTCTGAAATATCAGAATTTTCATGCAACTCAAGATAAAAATACCCTTTATTTAGCAACCAAATTCTTTACAAATTATAGAAATTATAGTCCTCTCAAGTACTGTGAAAAAGCTGAAATTCTGCATGCTTTGATTTACACTGCTTTTATTAAGCTTCAGTCTTGTCAAAGGTGCATAGACATAGAACTGTCTTCATCACTTGGGAAAAATGATGACTTTTTTGAGGGTTTTTAGAATCACAGACTAATTAGGAACCCATGACCAGTAAGGATCAAGAGATGACACTCTTGAAGCTTTTCATAAAGTCTACATTTTTCTCATGTGTCTATCTCAACAGACACTAGTTCAGTCTTCCCACTTGTATCATATGCATAATTATTTTGTGATCTTGGATAAAAAGAGTCTTAAACAATTGTAAGAGTCAAAGTAACCTTTGATCTTAGGCATAGGAAGTATGTTTGGCACAGACTGAATGTCCAGTAAATAAGGGACTTTTCCCACGGCTATCGTAAAAGATTTAGTTTTCATAATAGAATTGCTTCTTTGAGACGCCTTTGGGATTTCAGCGAGGTTTGCTGCTGTCAGCAGCATACTACTGAACAATGTTGTCAGCCCAGAGATGTTTGTACACACCCACCAGGGAGTGTGCGAGCACCTAAGACTTGGGCAGGATCCAAGGGATGATTTTGAGAGCCTTTGGCATTTAATACAGCAACTAATGGGTGGGGTTGCATATCATCTGAAGGTGTGAGCTCTAATTCTAATTCTCATTCTAATTCATGAAATGGAAAGCATGGTCTTTTGTTGCTCAGATCTTAGCTGTAAGGAAGGATGCCAAAGTATTTGGGGTTTTTTAGTAGCATTTTTATGTGCAATGTTTTGCAAAGTACAATGTGCAAAAATTCAAAGAGAAAAAATTCTCAGGTCTTTTAGTTTAAAAGAATGGGTTTAAGGGTTATCAGGCACTGGAATGGGCTGCCTAGGGAGGTGGTTGAGTCACCATCCCTGGAGGTGTTTAAAAGACAGTAGATGGGGTGCGTGCTCAGAGATAGTAGGGGATAGGTACGGTTGGACTCAATGATCTCAGAGGTCTTTTCCAACCAAGGGATTCCATGATTCTATGATAATGCTCTTGACTGAAATTTCCCCCCTTTTTTTTTTTCTTTTTCTTTTTTACAAAGGCGAGAAAATGCAGCTGTTTGGAAAGTGGTGTTTGGGATTAGCAATCTTGATCATCCATCTGGCTTCATGCAGACCCGACTAGTGAAGACCATCATCCTCCATCCCCGCTACAACAGAGCAGTTGTAGACTATGATATCAGCATTGTGGAACTAGATGAAGATATCAACGAGACAAGCTATGTAAGACCTGTCTGTTTGCCCAGCAAGGACCAGTTGGTTCGGCCAGATACCTACTGCTACATCACAGGCTGGGGACACATGGGCAACAAAAGTAAGATGAATATTTCTGGGACTCTTGGAAAAATATGTTAACCTTCTACTCAGTTAATCAAATATATGATCTTATTACAAAGCTTTATCCATTTATACTATTACCAGATCTTATAAATACTAGGGAACTGTAACTATTCATGAAGGGATCTATCTGTGACGAGAGCCTAGCTTTTTAAAATCAGCAGCCTGAATTTATGCTCCTTAATCCTTATTTAGACAAGTGGCTTCACTTTCAAAAATACTGAGGATCTAGAAACAACTATCAAGAAAATCACCTGAATTGGTTATTGTTTTACTGGCTTAGGTTGTATTCAGAAAGGTATTGAGAAGATACCAGATCATCAGTGGGAGGGGCAACATTCTTAGTTCAGTGAAATCTGAAGGCACTGAAAGCGCTGGCATACAGGCTGAATGAACATTTTCTTGAATCAACACTCCATGCTGCACTTTGGACTTGTGACACGATTTATTCCATCCAGGCATAGTCACAAGTGGTGGTGTTGTCTCTCTGAAGGGAACATTAGTGTGCTTTCTTGTTCTGTGCCCACTGCAATCCTTGGGTCCCATGACAAGAACAGTTGTGTTATGTAAATCTTTGTTTAGACAGAACGATTCTGCATGCATCATATGCAAATTATCCTGGCTCCAACCCTGTTAACGCTCTAGCCATTGTGTTTCCCTCTCCCTTCGCTGTTACAGTAATTACTAGGGAAGGCTGTTGTTTTGTGCACCGGAGAAGGCAATTTTCCTTTCAGTATTGCTTCAGGTGGGACTTCACCTCTAGTGGCCAGGTCAGACATGTGGCAAAAATTAAATTGGCTGTTTACTAGCAGCTCTATCCATCTAAAAATATCTTTTATGTAATGGCAGGAAAAAAACCCACAGAATGCTTTTGTACCACTGTGGAAAGTGGAAAAAGGTTCTTTGTTCTCTAATGTGGTTTCAGTATTGGTGATAAAGGCTTTATGTTATGAAGCATCAAAAACCATCATGGCTGCACAGCACATGCCTTAGGTTGAGCAACTTTCCTTAGAATTTGAGCTCGGTCAGCTGTCAGAACTAGGAAGAAGTTCTTTATTAACAGTCTCCTGAATGAGCTAAAATAATTTCAATAACCCTTGAGTTCTGATTCCCTGATACACTCTCTAAGACAAATTTACCCAAACATAACTCAAAATGCCTGTAATTATACCAAGGTTTACCATTAGAGACACAGAGAAACAGGGAGGTCCTGCCACGGAACAATGAGTCAGACCTCTCCACCCCACTCCCATTACTGTTTCCAGCCAATACTGCCCCATCTTACAAGTCTCGTCCCACATCGCGTAAAGGTGCTCTCGCTCCTCAGTCTGTCAGTGCGAATGCACGATAAATGGCCAGTGTCACACCAGTTCCCGTGTGCTTGGTCCTTCTCTAGAACACAACACATACTCTTCTGGCTCAGAGGCACAACAGTCAGGAATCCCATGATGCAGCACAGCAAAAAACCACCTGCTTTCACCTTAGCTTTGTGCTAAAGGGGGAGTCTTCTCTCCTTGCATTTAATGTACATACATATTAAATACTATTTACAATCTATCTTACTAGAAATATCGTATCTCAAAGAGCCATCAAGCTGACTATTTGTGTGTTTGTCTGTGTATAGTTTAATGCTTAATTCTGTTTTTCAGTGCCTTTCAAGCTTCAAGAAGGAGAGGTTCGCATCATTTCCTTAGAACAATGCCAGTCATACTTTGACATGAAAACCATCACCAGCAGGATGCTGTGTGCTGGCTACGAGTCTGGCACTGTGGACTCTTGCATGGTAGGCTTCTCCTTAGGGAGAAACTCACAGCCAGACTTGCTTTTAGATGTCAAAGTACTGTGACATTTACTAGGTATAACATCCTTCATCTACTACAGGAAT